AGGGCTAATGAGACCTGCCTGGTCTGGGAGCCTGTGGACTGTTTGTAAGCAGCCATTGCTACAAACACTAAATTGGATGGGTATTTTATTAAAAGATGATCACTCAGAATGAACCTACCATCAGTGAATAAACTAAGGAACCCCCCCCCCCAGGGCTTTAATCACAGATGTCCATTAGCTTTTCCCATAATACACATAGGGAATTCACTCTACAACTGGCCAGGCCAGCCTTCCCTCCCCCCCTCCCCCCAGCACTCACAAAAGTGGCCATCTGTCCAGTCCAGGTGGGGCAGACTCCTGGCTCCTGCTGGTCCCATCTTCCTAGAGCTCAATCAATGAGGCTTCCCCAGCCTCCCCTCCTCCTGGGGTTTCCATGGGAATCCTCCTCCCACACAGAGTCAGAGGCTCCTGGGATAAAAGCTCAGCTGTCAGCCAGCAGAAAGAGCAGGAGCTGGGAAGCAGGAGGCTTGCTGGGTGGTAGCGACCAGGCCAGCATTCTCTACAAGGTCATTTGAAAGAGACATAGGTCATATCCAGTGGGACCATGTGCCCCTGTAGCTGTGGTTTGTTTTGTAGGACAGTTGTCCTCCGTGAGGCCCAGCATCGGTTCAAGCATGGCAGAAGAGGCTGAGGAGGGGCTGCCAGGGGGACCCTCTAGGAAAACATCTATTAAAAGAACCCAAGTCATGTGCATGTCCAACCTCTCATCTATCTCCCAAGATGAGTGTTTGGACATGAGTGCTTGCCTGAAAACAGGATTCCTGAAAGCAAAGCAGGACCATCCAAGCACCAGGGTTAATCTAGGGAACTTGTGGATTCCTCTGGTAAGCTGGGGGCATCTTTTTGCGTGTGCTTCATACACCAGGCTTGGGAGGAGGACGATGTAGGTAGACAGAAGGGGGCCTGCCTATGAGAAGGGCTCCATCCCTAGGACTCCTACCATGCCCTCACTTATCACACAAACTGTGGCTAACAGGTAGGATGTCTCTATGGGGACAGCTAACTGGGCCAAGCAGAGTTGCAGACCACTATGAACACAGTTCATAGAATCACAACCACAACTCGCGAAGGTGGCGCTGGCATTGTACTGCACTACTCCTACATGTAACGTATGTACACCATCTTTTCTGCCTGCCTTATACGTGCAACACCTCAAGGCAACATCTTAGACTCCCTCTCCTCCTCTCTGTGTATCCTTTCTTTAAGTCTACCCTTCCATTTCTCTGCTGACTTCCCTAGCCCTACTTGGCCTCCCTCACTTAGCCTCTGGCCATTATAGATGCTCCACTGGGCGACTCTGTAGTTCATCTGTCCATTCTAAGCTTTCTACTGAGCACATGGCCACCTTCCTAACAGCACATCTGAGAATCACATGTCCTGGACTGAGCTCAGCCTCTTCCATCTCCATAATCCAGGTTCCTCTCTCTGTTGCTGTCACTCAGTGCCCTCTACTTCCCCTTGGTTTCCATGTTAGTGGAATTACTGGGGCAGTCTCCTAGGGAGGACCTATGATTTTTGCCTTGGAACTCTAACCCATCTTTCTTGCTGCCAAGAGGCTAAATCCAAGCAAGCTGCCCATCGCTTGCTCATTCAAACATGCACCCCTTGAGGTGACACAGTCAATTTCTCCTTACAGCCTTTCTCCAACCAGTGACGCCAGACTCTCAAGCAAGCTTACCCCAAGCTTCTGGGACTTGCTCACCTTCACTGCCTACTCACCTTTCCTCACTCCTCTGTGCCCCCACCATGGCGCCCTCCCCGCCTGCTCTCTGCCCCATGATGTCACCCTAACAATCTAGCCCCACTGATGTCTCCTGCGTCACATGTTACTTCTAGGAGGTTAACCAGTGCCCAGCTAATTGCCACCTGTCGTCTAGACTGGTCCTGTGCACACTACCTATCTGCATTAAGAAGTTCCTGTCAGAGTCAGGTGTGATAGATAGCCCACACCTGGAAGGGTCTGGAAGATTGAGAGTTGGGCCAGCCTGGGCTACACTGTGAGTTCCAGTCCAGCATGGGCTGTAAGGTGGGAGGGAAAAAAAAAAAAACTTGAAGAAGAAATGCTTGCTGGACTGAGTGAGTGAGTTGTGTTTTTACCAACAAGAATTTTTTTTTCATAACTGAAGCATGCATTTGAAAATGTGAATTAAGTTCCCATGCAATCAACACTCCACGAAGTTTATGACAGCTCATCTGGGGTCTTTCCCAAAAGATGGGCCAGACAGCTGCTTCCTGAAGCCTCAGAAAGATGCCTGCCTGTAACTGAGCAGCAGCAGGAAAGCCAGTCAGCTCATGTAGGGACCATGTTTTATTTAAATGTGCTGCTAGATTTTTAATTTTTTATTATTGATCTTTTTGCCAAGTATGAACGATCATGCTCACACAAGTTAAGTGCATACATTAAGTGCCTTTTTTTTTTCTTTTTCTTTTTTTAATGATTACCGGGAAAGACTTCTGATGACTTGCAGCTAAGTCCTTCTACCCTCCTGATTTTCCACATCCACTTTCTGGTTCTATCTAGGGAGCTCCTGGAGACCTTTTGTTACCGTGCCAACAGAGGAGGGCCCTTTCAGGAGCACCGATGTGTGGCAATGAGCCAAACAGCTTAGAAAAAAGTGAACAAACTGCAGCATGCTGAGTTGCACTGGGCCTGTGCCTCAAAGGGGCAAAGACCTTGCCTCAGGCCTGAGCCTTAGCCATAGCCATATCCTGGCCCAGGAATGAAGTTTACAGGACAGGCTTCCATGAAAGAAAGATGACAAGGTTCCGGTCCCGTGACCAACTGGGGTGGGGTGGGGTGGGGTGGGAGTGGGAGTCAGGAGAGGCGTAAGCCCTGGGAGTGTTGGAGCAAAACCAAGATCTAGGGTCAGGGTCTCAGGGGTGGGGGAGACAAAGGATGAAGAAGAAGGTGGTGCCGGTGGTAGCCGGGCCTAGAGGGCAAACTCAGCCTTTACTCCTGGCAGCCTTGAGGAAGTTCTAACTAGGGAGGAATTTGGTCTGTTTACATTTTTACGGATAAAGGCTTCCTACTGGTGAATGGTTATGACTATTTGCTGATCCGATGTCTCAACAATTGATTCTTACGGCACTTGCACACATTTTTTTTCTTATTGAGTGAGGCAAAGCATATAGGTTTTCCTGCTGTATCTGTTTCACTCTGTGTGCAAGAATTGCCTGTAGTCTTTGTCCTTTGGGAGCTTGCTTGTCTTGAAGATTCTTTACACATATTAGGCTGATGCTATAGCTCAGGGGTGGAGCACTTGTCTAGCATGCACAAAGCCCTGGGTTCCATTCCTGACACACACCCCAAATCTGTTACAAATTGGAAGCTGTGAAGCCTTTGCAGTAAGTAGCAATTCTCTCCCCAGTCTGTCTGTCTTTTGACTGCTTCTGGCAAGTGTTTTCCCCTGTGCAGATTTTATTTCTTTGTCACAGAATGTATCAGTCTTTAAAATCAAAGAGAAATACAAACTGAAGAGATATTTTGGTGGCATGACTGGTGAATCTAATTTTGTTTACTGCTTGCAAAGGCTTAAATTCTTGTTACCACCCTTCCATGGAAGTTTAAACATGGAGTCGGGGTGTGTGTCTCATGAACCGCGGCCTCCTGTAAAGTAAATTAAATTCATGTCACATTTTTGACATTTTGGTTTTCTACAAAGTGGGTTCATCTGCAGCCCTAAATCAATACTGAATGGTTTGGGGGAGGGACTGGTGGGAAGAGGTTGAGGGATCCTCCATCAGCCACAGTAACATAAACAAACTGCAGGCTTTAGTTGAAAGACAGAGGTGCCAAAGTGAGGAATCAGACAGGAAGACTCAGGGGTGAGTGAGTGCACAGATCGCTTCCCACAGGGCAGGGTGGGAAGAGTGAACTTTTCCCTCACCCTATTCATCTCTTCCCGATCTAGATAGGCTCAACAACTGTTGGGGGCAGATGAGAGGGAAGGTAAGAGGAGTTCACACCCAAATCCTGGAGTGGGGCAGGGAGTGGGGACAGAAGGCACATTAGAGCTGGGGACCGTAGAGAACCCGCTCAAGGTCACACCCACGGGCTGGTGCTAGAAGCAGAATTCGAATCCAAGCCCGGGATTGCAGCGCGGAGAGTTCTAGAGACACACAAATGTGCTCTCTCTTCTCGGCTTAGCAGCCCACGCTTGGCCACCAGGCGGTGGGAGCCACACTTCCTGGACCTCACCAGCCAGAGGTCCGGGGTCCTTGTTTTTCCTGTCTCAAACAGGGTGGACACATTTGCCACACTCGGGGCTTAGGCTTCCTCCCTGCTTCCCCTAGCCCCTCGCCCACAGCTCTCTGAGCTACCTATTCTTTCCAAGTTTGTCTCACAGCCAGGCTGGGGACCAGCCGCGAACCGCTTTCATCGGGCTGAGCACTCAATCATCATTGCCCCAGCATCGAAGATAAACCATAATAATCACCACCAGAGCTTAGTGAGTGAGAGGCGCTTTACTTCTACAGCGACGAGCAGACCCGGAGAAATTACTGTCACACAGATGAGGCAGCTGCTGCAGCTCCGGGAAGTTGGATGATGTGCTGGGGCTCACACGGCTAACACTAGGGCTAGCTAATGTCTGTCTGAGTGCTTCCCGAGTGCCAGGCGCAGGTCTCCGCACCACCCTGCAGTTCCTTCCAACACACTAGTGAAAGGGGCACCGTTATCACCCCCATCTTCCGGATGAGGAGACCGAGGTTGTGGTGCTTGGCCCAAGGTCACCCCAGAGAGTGAAGGATGTAGGACCGAAATATAGTCGGGTGACTCCAGGAGCTATTTTCTATGTTGTCTCCACTACACGTAGAAACAGCGGGTTTCAAACCCGCAGTACCAGAGGCTGGCCTCAACGCTCCTCTCAAACCAACCAGCTTGGATTGCCACAATTCGCTGAGACATTCCCGCGGACCGCGACCAGGGAGACCCCAAGAGCACCGGGTGTGACCGTTGCCGGCCGGCGATCACCCTTTAGCAAGAGCTGAAGAGCACTTACCATAAAAGAGAGGGCGAGCGCCTGCCCGGGAAGAATCCCCAGCGCTGGCAGGTCCGGAACTCCCGGGAGAGAGATCTGCTGCCGCCGCTGCCCACTCAGGGGCGCCCGAGCGACCCCGCGGATGCTGGCTTCTCCGCCAGCGGCGCGTCCTCTCGTCTTGTGCCCGGCAGCAGCGCCCTCTCTCCCCGCAGGGTGCCCCGGAGTTAGGGACGTTCTTGGCGAAGTTGGGGCTCAGGCGCGGCAAGAGGGCTCTGAGGTCCAGTCCCGGGTGGGAAAGCGCCTGACTGTGCGGATCTCAGGGGGGCGCGGAAGCCTGCACCCTGGCTGCCCCGAAGCTTGGCGCCTGACCTGGAGGTCGGCGAGTCCCGCGCTTAGAGCGCACGGGCCGCACCTCGGCCGCCTGAGCCGGGAGTGCCCGGTTTCTTTCCCAGCGCCCCGGGCGCACGCCGCGAAGGCTGCAGCGGTGGCCGGGGCCCGGGCCGCGGTGCGCTCATCGCCTTCCCCAGGGGCTGGGTGCCTTTGTGCGCGGGGCGCGCCGACTGCCAGGGCCAGCTCTGGATGCTGCAGCCGCCGCCTCCCCCTCCTCCACGGCCGCCCGCTCCCCGCCTTCCCGGCCGGCCCGGAGGCTGCAGCTGAAAGCCGATCCGGCTGAGCTCATCCCTGAAGGCCACTAATCCAATAGCCGCGGAAGGCGCGGCCGCCGGGAACGCCCCTTCCCCCACCATCCCGCGCCCGGGCCGTCCCAGCTCGGGCCGCTGCCGGCTCTGCCACCTTCTGGAGGCCACCAGCTGGCGGGAGTGGGAAGTGGAACCCGCGCCCGCGCCCTTGGGCCGAAGTGGCGCGGACGCCATTCACTCATCTGCCGGCTGGCTGGCCTGAACATTCGTTCACACACGCGTTCATTCATGCGCACGGGTCCTCCCCCATTCATTCAAGCGTGCCTGGAGAGCCGGGGTGCCCAGGGGCGGGGGATGAAGAGAAGAGGAGACACCACCGTCACCAGCTTTAGTGTCTGTACTCAAGGCGTGTGGGAAACAGCGATGGGGGGAAAGAGAATGCTTCAACATAACCCCTTGCCTTAGGGTTTATATTGCTCACACTATTTCTGAAGCCAGACTCCACATTTTTCAAAGCCAATTTCATGCCGCACCTGCTCGATGGTGCCTTTCCCCGCTCAGAGAGAAGGAACATTGCTTAGAGGACTACCATGCTGATGGTGGGATGCTCTCTACTAGACTGAGTGAGCTCAGAGATGAGGAAGAGGGCGTGACCAAAGCGAGGGACCCTCTGTACTTCCCTCAGTTGTTTCCTTGAGGAAAGTCAAGATTCCTGGCCAGGGCAACCTGCTTTCAATTCCAGGTCCTGGCAGGTCCAACCTGCTTGGATCAGGTCCATTCCACAGCCCTAACTGACCTCACACCTCCCTGGTGGGCTTCGCGCAAAGATTTCTAGATCAGAGAGTGTCTTTTTTTTTTTTCCCTCATGGACACTGAAGACAAGCACCTGCAACCCAATCCTGTGAGGGAAATGTGTTGACATAGAGCTCCTTTCCCAGACTGGAGAGGACGATTTGAGAATGTTTCTTTGTGGAAGTGGCTGCACGGATTAGCTACACAGAAGGCATCATAGCCTCGTGAAGCACCTGTAGCAGCCTGTGGTAAGACTGGAGCCAAAAGAGGAGGTAAGATGAAACAGGCAGGGTACTTAGGGTCTTGGAGACCATCCAAAGGGCTTGGCTTTTTGCCAAGATCAGTTAGGCAGGCCTTTTGACCTTGGCAGATTTGCTGTCCAGGAAGATAGTCCAGTGGCAGAGTGAATAGATGGATGGATAGCACAGGCCAGTTTGGAAGCTGCTACAGAAGTGTGAGCAATGAAAGATGCTTTACCAATCGGGACAGCTCAGTGATGAGACAAGGGGGTAGACCGAGCAAGTGTCGGTTTTGCTTACACTGTTTCACCTATGTTTACAGGTCTGTCTGTACCTGTGTGTCTCGGGATGCCCTCCTGACTGCACAGAAGAGCTGCTGAAGGATCATGAGCCGTGCACACACTGGCTTGTTGTCTCCTTCCTCAGGATGTTTCTGGAGCATCTGCTCTGTCAGCTGCTGTGGTACTAGCAGAACTGGATAGGAGATGAGAACTGAGGAAAACTCAGAAGCAAAGGGAAATTAAGCAAGTCATTCCAAGGACTGGAGAGATTACTCTGATGGTTAAAAGTACTGTTGCTCTTGACCAGGGTTCAGTTCCCAGCACCCACGTTGTGGTTCACAGCCATTCAGAACTTCAGTTCCAGTGGTTCTGGTGCCTTCTTCTGACTTCCACTGGCTCCAGGCACATACATGGTTCACATATATTCATGCAGGAAAAACATTCATGTACTTAAAATAAACCTGAAAACATCAACAAAATAACCAAGACTTTCCAGCTGATGGTTCCTCTACCTACAAATGGCCAACATTCACTTCTTCCTCCAGCAAGAAGGACTTCACAAAAGCTTAAGAACAGTTGAAAAACCACCCCCTCAAAACACACCCATGTGCCAGGTATGTTCATTACCCACGTGTTTACAAATGTGACTGTACCTCAGGCATCAAGAAATGGGAACAACACCCCAGGTGTCACTGAAGTTCCCCAAATCCTCCACCCCCTGAGTAGCATGGGTGTGGTTTGTCCCCCACTTTGAAATGTGAGCAAATGTCTATTCATTCCAGATAGGGTATCCATTACAGACCAGAGAAATAATTCTATCCAAGTCTAGTTTGGGAAACCAGTAAATTTACTGGGGCTACTAATAGGAGCATGGGAGATACAACACTATCACTGAAAAGCCCACTTGCCAATGGACAACTCAGGAAAGCTGTATTGCTGGGGCTCCCTGCCCAGCTTGCTGTCTGAAGAGTTCCTGTGCCCCAGCTTTTACAAGCTTGAGAAGGGGCCTTGTGAATCTTGTAACTTTCATGAGCTTTCTGAGCCTTCTAAGTTTTATGAGCTTCTGGAGTCTTATTGAACCTCTCTCCTCCCTCCTGGAGAGAATGTTTCTCTTCAGAGGAAACAGCCACACAGGAAGAGGAAAGAATTCAGCATTTTGGGAAATCGCCTGGATAACCTGATCAAATGCTCTATAAGCTGAAGTCTGTAGCCTATAAACAGCCCTCTTGCAATCCCTGGCCCTGGATAGCCACATCCCCCCACCCCTTCCTCTGAAGTGTAGGCTGGGTTTGCCATCTTGCTTTTCACAAATAGAACACAGTAGGGCAGACAGGATGTCCCTTCTGGGATTAGGTAATGAAAAGAGGAGCTGCACTGGGCACCCATTGTCTGTCTTGCTCTTTTGTGCTCCCTGAAGGAAGCTTGGTGAGGGACTGAGCTCGGCCCGCCACCAGGGGAGCCTTCCCATCAGGCTGCAGTCCTTTTGATGCCTTGACTACAACCTCAAAGATACCCAAATCAGAGGCACAAGCTAAGCTACACTGATTCTTGACTGGTGGAAATGTTAAGAAAATGTCTTGTTTTAAGCTTATGAATTCAGGGATTGTTTGTTAATTGGCATCAGGTAACTAATATAAGATAATCCTGATTGCCAGGGAGTCTATCTAAAATTAAATCCTTGATGACCTTGGCATAGTCTTGTTCCAAAGAATACACAATATTTCATGGACATGTAGCCAAGCAGCCATGGGCTTAAATTTCAGCTTAGAGATGTTTGCTTTTAGTCTTCTCATTTGAAAAAAGGGACAGAAGAATTTCTTCTGAGTGTGGTTTTATGTTGTAGCATATTACAAAGTAGGTGTTCAGTAAATCTTTTCCTTATGCTTGGTACCAGGAAACTAAAATCTGCAACATTCTTAGAATTCTTGACTACAGACGACCCATGCGTGGAGCAGAAGGTCTATGAGATGGTGTCTAAAGCATCCTTTTTAGATTTTTCAGTCACACAGATTTATGTAGCACAATGTCACACTTGGAGACATGAAAACCATGAACTGGCCTTCTCTTGCTTCTGCTTCTCTGGGTCTTGGTTTGCTGTCTACTTCCCAGGTGCCAGCTGTCAAATCTGAGACTCTTGGTCTTGCAGAAGCACTCACCAGGGTTTTATGGCATCTGAGAAAAGGTTATGAGTTCTGTGACATTTTGGAGTGCAGAGCTTGCTGGAATGGAGTTTGTGGCAGGGCAGGAGAAAGGGAGTATAGCTTTGCCTGTCTTTGACAGGCATAGGCTGCTCAACTTGATCTACAGCATGGTATGATTCTGGGGGTGGGGTGGGGGTTCAACACTTAGGTCCTGTTCTCTTCAGCTCGGGTGCCATCATCTCTGCTAGAGATCTGGGCAGTCTTCATAAAAAAAAAAAAAAAAAAGTACCCTGACACATCCTTCAAGGCCACTCCTACAACCCACTGGATGGTCTTTATACTTCTTAGGGGGGATCTGGGTTTGCCCATTCATCTAATTTACTTCTTTTCATCTGGCCCTGGGACAGGACAGGGTGAACCACAGAACTCCTGAAGTGTATCTCCCTCATTGTCCCCAACACTGGCGTTGGCACACGCTGACCCTTTTCCCAGATGCACACTTACCCCAGGTAGCTCTAACTTGCCTTTCTGCCTGAATGCATCATATCTCCTCCCGGGAACTTTCTGTACCCAGATGACAGATGTCCTTCAGTGTGTCTTCTGACTTCACTGTGTGTCTTCACAGTGTGTCTTCTGTGTCTCACTGCTGCTGAAGCTTTCTTTCTTCTTCCTTCCTTCCTTCCTTCCTTTCTCCTTTGAACGATCATCTTTTTATTATTTGTTTTCATTTTACATGCCAACCCCAGTTCCCCTCCCTCCCCCTCCAACCCCTCACCTGTCCCTTCCCCATGCCCCCATCCACTCCTCAGAGGGGGTGAGACCTTCCTTGGGGAGTCAACAAGAGTCTGGCATACCAAGCTGAGTTGCCTCTTCTCATGTCCGCACTCTAAGACAGGAGCTCTTGAAGGGCAACGTTGTCTTTTTCATCTTTATACCTTTTGTAAGAGGCCTACATTTTCTTCTTATTGATTTCTCAAGGTAGAATACTCTATATTTTTCCTTAGTAGCCCTGGCTGGGTGAGGGGCCTCTTCTTTGAAAACTACATGGCACTTGGTTCTGACATCTTGTAAACCCTCTGGGATTTTTCAAATCATATTCTTACACCTGACAGTGACTATTTTCTTTAAAAAAACAAAATAAAAGCAGATTAGATGAA